CAATCACTAGGAGACGGAGAGTTGTAGTCCCGCCTTAGCCATGAAAGTGAGCTGAGTGCCTTCATTCTCAGCCCAACCCATCTCACAAGGTTGTTGTGGGGAAAATAGGAGGGGGAAGATATGCTGGAAATATTCATCACCTTGAGCTATTTGTAAAAGTGCAGTGCAAATAAATAAGTGTTTGGTGTGTGTGAGAGAGATATTTTGGACACGATGGGCTGCTGACAGGAAGGCACTTGGAACTGTGAGATGGCTCCAAACCGGTAGGTAGGTAGGTAGGTAGGTAAGAAAGAAGAGAGAGAGGGAGGGAGGGAGGAGAGAAGGAGAGAAGAGAAAGAGAGAAAAGAAAGAAAAAGAAAGAAAGAAAGAAAGAAAGAAAGAAAGAAAGAGAAAGATCTCTCTGTCTTTCTGTCTCTATCTTTCATTTTGGAGCCATCTCACAGTTCCAAGTGCCTTCCAAAACCACAGCAGCCCATCGTGTCCAAAACCACACACATAAAAAATCTGAAGAGGATCAGATTGGGCTTTTAGGGCTGTGCTGCTCCCAGGGCTTCGAGACCATCCCTTAATATTGTTAATTTTCCCCCCCTCCCCTCCTCTTCCATTAGGACGGCCTTTAACAACAACGTCCACTCCGCCTACGACGTTCTCAGTGCTGGGGCCAAGGGCAAGAAACCCGGTGTGGACGGGAAGACCTACAGCGAGCTCCTGCGGCTGCTGTGCCAAGAGAGGGCCGCCTCCGACGAGACCCTGCAGCCCCTCCTGCAGAAGGTCTCATGCCGAGACCACGAAGCGGTGCCCTTCGACATCTTCCGCTACGGCCTCCTCACCTGCCTGATCCTCCTGGAGTTCCTGGCCAAGGCTGACAGTCTCTACGATGCTCTCGATGACGGCTCGGATGCCGCCGACAAAAGGGTCTGCACGGCCGTCTTGGGCACCCTGGAAGACGCCCTCCACATAACCGATGCCTCTCCTCCCATCCGGTGCTTGGAAGCCGGATCCAAGCTCAGGCCAGACTGCTTGGCGATGGCGATGGACCGGGCGCTGTTGGAGAGGAAAGCCAGCGCGGCCATGAAGAAGGACAAGTTCCTCAAGAGGGCTGCGTCCATCTTTGTTACAAAAGTGAAGTCCGTTCACTAAACAGGGCAGGGAGCGGGCGTGGTTCTTCTCTCTGGCTTTCCTGAGTGGCAGAAAATCTATGATGCTACAGGGTGCAAATGGACACGGACAAAGGGGGAATCCCCCAGAATCGGTTTGCTTAGAGTTTGCCCCTCTAAGGCAGGGGTGGCGAATTATGGCTCCTTTAGGACCCGTGGACTTCAACTCCCAGAATTCCTGAGCCAGCAAAGCTTTGCGGACTGAGGAATTCTGGGAGTTGAAGTTCACAAGTCTTTAAAGTGGCCAAGATTGGAGACCCCTGGACTAGAAGATCTTCAGGGTCCCTTCCAATTCTGTTATCCTCTTTTAAGTTCTAGCCAAACCAGCGCACAGTCTATTTAACCATCTCCGAGCCATCCACTCTTCCTCCAAACCTCCAGGCAACTCCTCAAGTGGCTCTATCCCATTTTTGAAGCTGGCTTGGTTACCAATGTGTTTCTGACTGCGACTTAAGGGCCTGGTTATAACATCAAAAAGTCCCTAAACTGCCTGTCTAATAATAATTTGAGGAACTGGCCCTTTACAAGCTGACAGGGTCTGCATGTTCCAGGCTCTTTCTATTAAATAATATCATTTTTCAGGACCCCGGAAGTGTTGTCTTTTCTGTCATGGTCCCTTGGATGAGGTTATCCCTGAGATCCATCCGTACGATTTTCCATAAAATGTAATTTTTTTCTTCTCCCACACCATGGGCTAGAAGTGACTGGAGCAGCCCCTGGAGGTTATTGGTATATATTCTTGTATTGTTTTGTCCCTTTTTTTTCTAGTGTACGGGGTTTTTGTTTTAGAAATCATTCCTATTTATATATTTTTTTAAATTCTGTTCGTTGTATGGGAGTCACCCAGAATCATTCTGGAATCAGGTAGCATCAAATTGAATAAAATAAATAAATCTGTTATCATACACACAAACACAGAAACCTCAGTTCTACGGTAGTATTTTCACCAACATCCTACCTTATCCAGATTCTTGGGCTGAGAGGGAGGAGCTGGCCCAACGTCAGCGAATGGGGTTTCTGTGGCTGGGGGTGGACTTGAACCCAAGTCTTGCCACTCCTACTCCAACTTTCCTGCTACATCTTTGTTAAGCCTGGATTCCCCAACGGATGTTAAGGAAAACAAACTAAACAGAACGTGCAGCGAAGTCAGATAGGAAGACAGGTAAATGTGTGAGATAAGTTTTCTAGTTAACACGCAGTAAAAATACAGATATGCTTGTGCTATCAAAAATATAGTTTATTCCATTTAAGAATTATAGCATAGTCAAAATAAACGGTCCATTGGTCATATATCATTTCAGTCAAGTCTTGTCGGGGATACTCTATTTGCAAAGTCCGTGTTGAATAGCCAATGTCAGTTCACTTACAATAAATCAGTCCAATCTTTATCTTCTCTCCGTTGAGAAATCAACACTCCTTTTTCTCTCCCCGTTCCAACAAGAACGCAGTCATCAATCCATCCAGTAATTAGGGATCAGTAAGCCAGAGAGAGCAAGCTGCAATTGCCTCACTTCTTATATAGTGCTTTTATAACCACACCCTTAATTACATTCTTGCAGTTAAAGTTACACACATTTTAAACAACAAACCATGATACCTTATTTATTATTTTTACCCAAACCAGTTAGGGTAAACAATGTTATCCCTAACAATCTTATTGGTTCTTAGGTTTAGAGGGAGGGATTTAGCCCAAAGCCAGCCAGTGAGCTTCTGTGCCTGAGGGGAGACTAGTACTCAGGTCTTTCCATTCCTTGTCTAGCCACTGAATAAAGTGGATTGCTTGAAAATGGCAAATGGCAAGTTGGTTTAAAAAAAATATGGCGGCATTTGATTTGATTTGATTTTAAAAGCCACAGTAGAAATCATTTCCTTTTCACTGGAAAAGTATAGTTTTTTTTTATCCTCTAGACTTTTCTAAAGCTTCAAGGTTTCAGTGCATACAGAAGCAGAATTATTTAATTCTCTTTTATCTTCCCCCACGCCAAATTATATTCCTGCCTGCAGCTTAAAATTCCCCCTGCTTAATCAAGAATTTGGGGGTGACTCATCCTTGGTTCATCCTTTGGCCAGACACATCTTACGTATATTCTGACATCTAGATCAAACAAAAGTTTTTATCTAGTCCAAACAGTCATGGACGACATTCAGTGTCTCAGTTCGGTAAAACCCTGTGTTTTTTTTCCTCCAACTTTTTTTCTCAGCATTCCTTACTCCTCTGAAGCCTGTTTAATCTTTTTCTTCAGTTGGAAAAAGTTTGTAGACTAGCTGGCAATGGGTAAAGTGTCCATCACAAAAACTCTAAAACGGAGGTCTCCAAACTTGGCAACTTTAAGACTTGTGGACTTCAACTCCCGGAATTCGTCAGCCAGCTATTTTGGAAGTTGAAGTCCACATGTCTTAAAGTTGCCAAGTTTGGCGACCTCTGTGATGTGAAAAGGAATGAGGCTGAAATGAAAGGAGAAATGAGCAAATTCAGTTTTCGGGGACTTCATCTTTTTCACTCACTGGGTGCCTTTAGATCTGGATTAGTTTAGTTTTAGTTTACTTTATTGTCATTGCACCTCGTACAACGAAATCAAACATCATCTTCAGTGTACATCATGACCATGAAAATAAACACAAGCACACATCCTTCACCCTTCATACATTGAACTGGAAAGCCCCGACACCATACCAACACTGCACTATACAGCAGAATTGAAAAGAGCTACTGCCCTGGAATAGAAGCTGTTTTTCAGCCTATTTGTCCGTGTTTTTATTATTCTGTATCATCTGACAGGTGGTAATAGTTTTTTTAAAAAAGGGTGCCCAGGATGAGATGGATCTTTGAGAATGTTTTGAACTTTCTTAAGGCAGCAGGAGCTATAAAGCTCTTCCAAAGAGGGGAGAGGGCAACCAACGATCTTCTGGGCAATGACGTTAACCGTCTGGAGTGCTGTCCTATCTTCCCCTGTGCAACTGGCAAACCATACAGAGGTGCAGTAAGTTAAGATACTCTCTATGGTGCAGCGGTAGAAGGTCACCAGCAGTTTTCCATCCAGTTGTTGTTTCCTGAGAAGTCTCAGGTCGTATAATCTCTGCTGGGCCCTTTTGACCAGGGCTGCAATGTGAGCACCTCAGGTCAGGTCCTCTTTTAGGATAACATCCAGAAACTTAAAACTGGCCACTTGCTTCACGGTCTCCATTGATAAGCAAGGGCTTATCATCTGGACGACTGCTGAGCTTAGGGCAGTAATGGCTAACCTTTTTCACGTTGCGTGCCAAAAGTGCGTGCGTGCCTGCACCCATGATGCGATGCGTGCGTGACTCCCCCGCCCATGCATGCGTGCGCAACTCCCTGCGCACGGGACTCTACATGCACACACAACCCCCATGCACACCGCAGCCTCTGCGCATGCACGCGCATCTCCCGCTGTGCATGTGCAGCAGATACCTGACTGTTGTGGCTCCGGACTTGGATTCAGCTCCTGTGGCTGATATGAGCTCAAGTGAGGAGGACATGGCAGAGAAATATGAGCCAGCATGGCTCAGTGATTGGAATGATAATCAGGAAGAGGAGATGGACGTGACAAGAGAGGACAGACCTGATTTAGTAGAATGGTCAGGACCTTCGACCTCCGGTTCAGTATCTGATCATCAGCCGGGAATGGCTGACAGAAGTTTTAAGAGAGTCTTCAAGTGGAGACGAGAACTTGGAGAATTGTTGGTTAGATGTCAGGAATAGACGCCGCTTTAAGAGGCAAGGCCAGCTGGAACGCAGGAGACGGGCAAGTCAGTAATTAGGGAAATTAACTGTTGCCCTAATAACTATAAAAGGATCCGCCTGAGTTTGAAAATTTGTCAGGAACAAAGCGTTTAATTTACGTGGAGAAGCAACGGTCAAAGCTCGGAGGCTTGTGGATTTAAGCCAGGATTAATGTGCTGTAGACTGTGAATAATAGCAGCTGTTATCTTCTGAAACTCCTCTTCGTTTGTTTTGCTTTTGAGGACGACTGCTTTCGGCGTTGCTTATTTGATTTTGAAGGTGGGACATAACACCTGACAATCAGCTGGCTGGCGGGGGTTGCGCACACGCATGCGCAGTGGGACTCTTCCAGGCGACCTCTCGCATGCTGGCAGAAGTAGCCCTGCATGCCACTTCCGGCATGCGTGCCATAGGTTCGCCACCACGGGCTTAGGACATTGTGTAACCTTCCCAAGTGGGATGAGACGGTTGTTAAATGAATCCGCCTTTACAGTTCGCTTGCAGAAAGTCACAAAAGCTGATCGCATGACCCCCGGGGTACTGCACTAATCAGAAATGCATGCCAGTTCCCAGGCGTCTGAATTTTGATCGCGTGATGAATCAAATCACGTGGCGTGACGGTCACGTGAAAAAAATCCTTTTTCTCAGTGCTGTTGTAACTTCCCATGGTCACTAAATGAACGGTAAGCCGAGGACTACCTGTATAAAGGCCGTGATTTTAAAGGTGGAAAAGGCTCAGTATCTATGGAGATTCTCAGCCATCCAGGGCATGCTTATCCCAAAAAGTGCTTTTCTCCTAAACTTGACAGCCTTGATTTTTCTTGAAGACGTTTCACTGCTCAAGAAGCGTGTTGGATTGAAAAATGAGAGTTCCCCCAAAAAAATCAAGAACATTTGGGAAAAGCACCTTTTGGAAAAGCTTAGCACAGTGGTTTTCAACCTGTGGTCAGCCAATCCCTGGGGGACTGTTAGACTTGAAGAAATGTTATGCTTTAAATGTTGAATTGTTTTTTGGGGGTGGTGGCGGTGGCTCCGTGGTCATGGTCCACAAAAGGGGATCTGTGGTGAAGAAAATGCTGAGAACCACTGGCTTAGCACACTTTGGAGGCAATCTGAAAGGTGCTTTTATTTCAAGAGGCAACTGGACTTTCTTGGTTTTTCCTTGAAGACGTTTCCCTTCTCATTCAAGAAGCTTCCTCAGCTCTGACTGGATGATGGGGAATGGAAGGATTTATACTCCTTGCAATCATTTGCACTCTTTTAGAGAGTGTGGAGGCCACTTGGAGGTTTGCCTGTGTCCTCAGTCTGAGCTGAAGTTGGACTACAAATACACCATCCAGTCAGAGTTGAAGAAGCTTCTTGGATGAGAAGCAAAACTTCTTCCCCAAAAACAACAATGTACAGTTGCTTCCTGAAAAAGCACCTTTGGGATCCTAACCCTAACCTCCATAGACTTTTAGCTCTGCACTTTTGGGACGAACACTCTTCGAATGGTGGAATATGAACAGATTTCCAGAAAAACTGCAGACTACAGGAACTATTTGCACTTCAGTTTGAGATGCAGACAACACAGGCTCATTCCCAACAGCCTGCATCTGTCTTCAACAGGGAAGGGAAACATCCTGCAACCAAGAAGGCTCCACACCCATTTGCACTACACAGGTGACCCTGAGGACACAGATAAACCTCCAAGTGGCCTCAACTACTCTCTAAAAAGATGCAAATGATCAGCTGTGTCTGCAAGGAGTATAAATCCTTCAGTTCCCCACAGTCCTGTCAGACCTGAAGAAGCTTTTTGGATGAGAAACCAAACGTCTTCAAAAGAAAAATCAGAAAGTCCAATTGCCTCTTGAAAAAAGCACCTTTGAGACAACCATGACCTGGATGGCTGAGAATCTCCACAGACATTTAAGAGAGAAACAAAGTGTTTTGTCTCATATTTCAAAAGAA